GCCTTTTTTTTTTTTTTTTTTAAAGCACCAGGACATTGGGGCTGGGTGGGGCAGCCATTGACAGGACTGGGAGAGCAGGTGGGGTTAGGGAGTGCTCAGAGGGTCTGGGGAGCAGATGGGATGGGGCCTGGCGCGGGTCCCCCCATGGTCTCCTGCCCCCTTCTCCAGCCTCCCCCGCCCGGCCTCCTACTTACCAGCACAAAGCGCGGGTCCAGCTCTCTACAGCGGCAAGTAGGGACTGCCTGAATTGCTGAATCTCCAAATCCTTTCCAAATCATTTCTGAATTGATTCAGACCTTTTTATTGGTCTCCCAATTTGATTCAGATTCGGAGATACTGCCGCTGAATTGGGCTGAATCTCCTCTGAATTGAATCAGCAGCTGAAGCTTCACATCATCCTAGTAATTCAGGGACTGCTTACAATTTTTGGCAGTCATTGTACACAGGCATCCTGTTAATGAGGATATACCATATATTCATAGTTTGTTTTATAAACTAGTATAAAAGAAGCTTACCTTTGATAATATGGTTATAGTGTACTGTGCTTGTTTCTACGGTAACATATTTCTTATTTTTCTTTTGTGTTTATGTTCATTCCTTTTTTCTTTTTTTGTTTTAAAAGTTTCTTTGCCTGATCTGCAAAGAATTAATTTTATTTCTTTTCAAAAGTTCTCTCTTTTCTCTTTTTCCTTTTTTTTTTGGTTAAAAAAATTAATTTCACCTTTAAGTCTGTATCTGTTGTCTGCTTGATTGTCTGTGACAAAGATTTATACTTTCTTGACAGTTGCAGAAACCTGTTTCAGGTAACCAAACATTAAAAAAACCTAAGACGAACTCTAATTGTTAGCTAGGGATAATCAATTATTCTTAGTTTGTGTAGTCAGGTGTATATAATAAGCTGCAAACATATGGGAAGGCTTCAGAAGGGTGATAAAGCATGTAAACAAAAACATGTTCAACATAAATAATGCTTAATTTAATGGAGAAGTTAATTTCATGGATTTTTGTTTGTAAAGTTTTTGAAGTGGAAATCCTTTTGCCTTTATGTGTACCACAGACGTTTTGACAATTAACTGTTTCAAATCACTGAAATGACAAAAGCCTAGGGTATAAAGTCTTCACTGTGAAAAAGAGGATAAACTGGATTCTGCAAGATATAATTTCTGAAATCCCTTTGATGTCTTAAATAAGTGTTTTTGTTAGTACATACCAGGCATTTTAAACTGCCTTGGAGGGAAAAAAGTGACCTGCAGAATCAGTTCTCAGAGTTCAGCAGTGATCATCTATGTCTCTAATTAAATTGTATTTAGATGGTCTGCTGAAAATGCTGGGGAGTCTGTTTTCAAAAGCGCCTAAGTGACTTAGGAGCCGAAACCACATTTTCAAAAGTGTTTAAGTTATTTTGGAACCCAAGTCCCTTTTTCAAAACTGACTTTCAAAGAGAATTAAGCCCCTCAGCACCAAGGCATTTTGAAAAAAATAGTTTTAGTTTTGTGTGTCACATAGGCACTTTTGAAAATTTTACTATTAGTCATAAAATATACTGAGCCCAGGTTTGGTTTTGTTTCTTCCAAGATACCTAAATGCAAAAATAAGCATGTTTTAATTGCCTTAGGTTCATATATGCCCATTTTCTATGCAGTTCAGACTTCCTGCACAGTGGTTACTATACATTTAATTTAGTACTTGTATAATCAAGTACTAAATAAATGTGCAGTAACCAGAGTTACTGTGCAGTAGCTCCGGCGGATGTCTTTTAAATAAAGCTACTGCTCTATTAGCATCTCGTGTAGATGTGCCCACTGTTAGCATTCCGGTGTCATTGAAATTAATGGTTTAACTTCAATCTAGCAATTTTCATCTGGCTCTTGTGCCATCGTTTGAAACATAGGTACTCTTGTATGTACTACAGTTATCTCAGCAAGGTTGACAACCCAAAGCATATTTTACTGGCAATCTGCAAACATTCACTGTTAATAGACTAGTTTATGGCTATTTATCAGAAATTCAGAGATACCTAAAATCCAGATATTACTTGGAATATTCCATTCATAAAGAGATGCCTGTAATTTATTTCTTTTCTCCTGTTTTAACTCCCTGTTGTTCATCTTTTTCTTCAAAGGTTTTCTAGATTGGGTTCCTAAGAAGATGCAAAGAGTAGGATGTGTTGAGCTGCTGAACACAGTCCAGAGACGAATACAGCCCAGGCTTCATGTTTTTGGACATATCCATGAAGGTCAGTGTGATTGTTTCTGTGTATTTTTTAAAACTAGCTACACACAAGTTACTTCGTTATTTGGCCAGTATTTTCAAAAGTTGGTGTTTGGCAACTATATGCCTGGACACATCTGAAAGTCAGGCCACTTGTTTAGCTACAGAAATGCTGATGGAAGTTTCCAGCTTGTACCCATGTTTGAATAGGGGTCTCAACTTCTTTCAGTTTCCTCATCTGGAAAATGGAGAGAATACCTACCTCGATAGGAACTGTTGATGCATTTGTTTTAAAACAAGACACAAGTCTAATATTTAAAGCACGTGACTACAAGTCCGAGTTAATAGATTTTGCTTTTGGCTTTTTATTGAGCCACTGTGTTACACTAGAAAAATGGTATAAGCTCTCTGTGCCTCAATTTCCCTGTTTGTAAAACAGGTATAATCCTTAGTAAAGGAATTCTGAGACTTAATTATGAAGATCCTGAGAGAGACCCTCTGTAGTTAAAGTTAAAATGAGGATTCATAACAGTTTAGAGATACGCAACATTGTTGGGCAAAGCACACACAGTCCTTTCATCTCCTCACTGGCTCATAGGAGTTCCAGATTCCCAGCATCCTGAGGGGCGTCATTCTCCCACCAGATGTCTCAGAATATTAGGGAGTCATTACTAGTTTGGGTGAGAATAAGCTGAGGAGTGCTATAAGTTAAATTTTCAGTAGGCAGGTCACCAAGCATGTCCTCTCAGCTATTTGGTTTCTAACTAAACAAAATTAATTAATTTCTTCATAGAATTCATAGACATCAGGGCTGGAAGGGACCTCAGAAGATCATCGAGTCCAGCTCCCTGCCCAAGGGGCAGGAAGTCAGTTGGGGTCATAAGATCCCAGCAAGATAAGCATCCAAATTTCTCTTGAAGGTGTTCAATGTATGTGCTGGAACCACCTCCAATGGCAGGCTATTTCAGACCTTGGGGGCTTGGACAGTGAAGAAATTCTTCCTTATGTCCAGCCTGAAATGGTCTTGCAGAAGTTTATAACTGTTTGACCTTGTCATCTCTTGGGGTGCTCTGGTGAACAATCCGCCCCCCAGATCCTGGTGTACACCCCTAATAAACTCATAGGTGACTATCAGATCACACCCGAGCCTGCGGTTTTCCAGGCTAAAGAGTCCCATAGCTCTCAGCCTGTCGTCGTAAGGTCTGTTTTTCTGACCTCTGATCATGTGCATAGCTCTTCTCTGGACTCTCAAGCTTCTTCACATCCTTTTTGAATTGTGGAGCCCAAAACTGCACGCAGTACTCCAGC